CATCAGCAGACTCCAATGGTCATAGTCTCCATCAAACTTTGGAAGACAAACCTGCGCAAAACTGCTGCTCTCACTCATGTTTTCACTCTCGCAATCCCTGAAACAATACCCTCTCGTGTCTCTCGTGTTTCCCTGTCCCAGAATAAAAAACAATTTCACTCAAATCACTCTCATTTTCAATCGTGGTTACAGTTTACTCTATGCTCTAATACCACAATGTAGTCTCAAATACGTTGGTAAACTGACAAAATTTATTCAAACTATCAAACCAACAATAAGTACTCAGCTTCAGCCTACAATCCAGGCTTCCACTAACAGACCATCAATCCCACGACCCTTAAAAATAGCTAACTAACTTGACAGCTGAGCTACTGACTTGCTGACTTTTGACTCAATCCACGCAGGGATCTTATTGACTCAATTTAAAGACTCGAGGACTCAATCACACTAAACCAAAACGACATAGTCTCAGACTTAAATCAACACTTTAACTATTAAAACACTTTTGTTCTTCCCGCATTCTCCTACTGCTCTTGCTGTCTCACTACAAGAAACTTTGCTTTCTGCGATGGCAAAATTCGTCGCAGAAAGGTCTAAAATTCGTCGCAGAAGCCTTCTGAAACGAATTCTTCCGTCGCAAAAATGAAAAACCCTTCGCCGCCTATACAGCGTCGCAGAACATACCGCGACGGAAAAAACCGGTTCGTTGCAAGAAAAACCAAATTCGTCGCAGAAAGTGCAGTTTCTTGTAGTGCCTTCTGCTATGATGATCCAGCCTCAATGCATCCAACACAAAAGGACCGATGGTTGTATGTAGGTTAGGAATTAAAATAGTTTGGTAATGCATTTACCAAACGATAACGCTCCAAACACCAAGGGGTTGTTTGCCCGAGAAAAACGCGAATCGGGCCAAATCGGCACGTTACTAAAAATATGAAAATTGTTAAATGAAAATTAGTGATCAAAATTCTGTGTTTAAAATGAGTTTAAGAATATGAAAATCGTTAGTGTGAGATTTGATTAAAATACTAATTTACTCCTTTGTGAGATGGAAAGAAGATATGATATGACTCAAAGAAAGAGGAAGAAGAGGGAAAGATCGGGTGAAAAAAAAACATGATAATGTCAGATTACCGGACAGGGGGTGTAGTAATTAGAATTCTCATGCCAGTGAGATTTGGCTCAAATTACCGCGACCCCATTTCCACATTTTTTCACAACCAAACGTGACCTTTATACCCATCTATTACATTTTGCGAGATTTAGACTCAATTCCCGATATAGTTAGAATTTGAACACACAAAATCGTACGAATATTATTATGATTCATACTTTTGGATCGAGTGTCTAGCAATGCATGGCCACTTGTTACAAAATTGGTACGATAAACATCTAACAGTTGCGTACCAACCACTAGACGTTTGATGCACCATGTTGATACAACTTGAATATGTTTTAATTTTATGGCCGTCGAATGTGAATTAGTGATGGCAATGTATGACCTGAACAACACGATTTGAACTAGCCCGACTTGTTTAGTTTGGGTATTATCCGACATATAGTAGGGTGGAGCCGGACATGGATATTACTTACGACCTACCTCATCCTATTCTCGACCGGTTATATCATAATTTGCATCAATATCTACATGTATTTCTTTCTCTATTTACCTTTCTAAAATCATATTTTCATCTCAAAGAAATTTTAAGACTCTATGTTCAACTATATATTTAGAATCAATTATTCATACTACTATATTTCTGCTTCATTTAGGAACTGGTTTCTCTATGTGTTTTTGTAAAACGGTAAATATCGACGTTCTTTTTCAAATAACATGTAAGAATGGGTAGTGTCGCCTTGCCCCGTACCCGCGTGCATATATGCTCTGATCCACGCTTAGTGCTGGGTGGCTATAGGCTTTGAGGTACCCCACCCTATTGTCATCACTACTGTCAATCAGATGGGTCTAGAGATAATCAATAATCAATAATCCATCAGATAGTAATACTGATATTTGCTACCATGTAGTAGTTAACACACATCATGTTAATAAAATACATAAATTTGTGTGTCATTTCAAGGTTGCCAATCCAATTTTGGCCCGGTCGAGCAAGTGGTTAAAGTATTAATTATCCATCAGTTTATCTCGGTTTAGCCCGGATATATGGTAAAAGCCATCATATTGTTCACATATATATAGACTATATAAAATCTCATCTAATATATGAGTAATAACATAAAACCTTACACAATAATAATAGTTCGTACTTGAATCCAACATATGGTAAAAATTTAAACACATTTAAATCCACCATATAAATTCGCGATTGGAACATTAAATGAACTGAAGCAACCTTTGAAAACCAAACAAAGTGACCTTCTGAAATGAAAGTTCGTTGACTGAGTTTATCGGTCGATTTAAAGCGAGTTTGACAAATCCTAACGAAGTCCAAAATATGTGTATGCCATTAGGTAACCAAGTGGAGCGGGAGCGCGAGAGCGTCTATTTTTCAAAAACTTAATATTGAGAGCGTGATAAGAGAGTCATTATTATATTAATATATTATTAATTGTAACTAAGTACCATCATTACTCACTAACAAAATCTTATAGGTGAATCACTTGATTTGAAGGAGTTAATGATTTATTTAAGGAATAACTCCACTGCTACCCAAAAACGTAACTCCAATTTAGTTGTATTTTATTTTTCACTATAATAGCACACGTGGTAGTTATTAGACACCACACATTCGCAGAACAACCCAACCTTTAACTCTATCAGCTGTGCTATCATCCTCGTCTTTCCCTTTCCTCTCTTTTTTCAATTTTCCTAAATCCTACGGCTCCACTGCCATTTTGAATCTCTTATTCCTCTGTTCTTTTTAGTTTCGAGTTTCAAGAATCTCTTGTCTCTGTATCTATTTTGTGATCAACCTTGTGATTCTGTTTCTATTCACACCTTGGGTTTTCTTTTAAAGTTCAATGGTCTCCAAAACGACGACAAAAGGGTTTCATCAATGGTGACTTGAATCAGAGGAAATCTTGATTTCCAGTTTAGATCTCATCGATGATAGAAGCACTACCAGATTTGCTAGGTCATGCAATCACTGTCAAGGGAAAATACTATCTAAGAGAAAGGACAAAATACGACCGTGTTTCACCCTTAATTGGCCATGTAATGACCGTCGAGAGAAAACCCAGGCTGACACCAAACACAACCTCAACCTTGTTTCACCCTGTAGATGCTCGTGTTCTGCTTAGAAGGAAATTAAGTGAAATGAGAAGCTTTGACAAAACGATGGCTGAGACCAAACACGGGCATGAAACATGACCGTGTTTTGGCCAGCTGAGGGATTAAGTGCAAATTTTAAGATTTTTATAGGAATTCGACATATGACAAAAAAAAAAAAAACAGAGGCCTAGAACGAGAAAGTGACGAAGAAACATACCTTTGAGCCGATTTGAGCCTTGATTCCTCCATTGGAGCTCAAATATTACCCCTCGGAGTGTAGATTGAAATCCCAAAACAAATAAATCATCATCACCTTTATGAGCATGACTGTTTCGATCATGGTTTTCCACTCTCTCTCTATAGAGAATTTTTCTCTCTCACTTGGGTGTGAATAACCCTATTTCCATGTGTTAGGAGAATTATTGTATGAACCCTTGGATTGGGGAATTAATTGATTATATTCAATTGAAGTTTTATTCATGAATGATTGAATCTAGATCAAATTCTTTTGATTGTTGATTTAACCTGAGATTTAGAAAATCTGATTGGGTTAAGATAGCATCCTTAGTTGGAAGTAGTGAATCGATTGCTCGAATAGTGAATCGATTCATTGCTCTGTACTAGAATCTTTTGCAGTAGAGGACGACCTCTTTTTGCATTGCCTTCGTATTTTTGTTCGGTTGAGGATAATCTCCTGTCGGCTAATCTGTTTAAAAGGGCTTAGTTTGCTTTAGTTGAGATTCCTAGTTAATATTGGACCTACTACATTATATCGACATTAGAGAGTGGTTGCTAGAAATAGAAAGTTCACCAAGTAACAGTACATCTAGCTAGGCTGCCGGTTGACACCAGAACTTCATTCCGCTACACTACTCCCGACTCTGTGGTTACACTTGGCCACTGAATAGAGTGTTGGTTTTAGCGAGTAAGGGTGAGATCTAAGGAGTGAGGTTACAATTTTTATTTTATTTTTCTACTTTTTTAATCGAATTGTATTTTTTTTTTTTGTTTTGTTCTAAGTTGAATTTTGAAATTTATATTTTGCAATAGAAGAAATGAGTTCATTATGATTAAAAAAATAAAATTCATTTATGATATTTTTGAGAATTTTTTTACCACCCATTATGCCATTACTAGACAGAGAGTGTATGAATTATGGAGGAACACAAGTGGCTAGATTGTTTATATTAGGGTAGTGACTATTTATTAGACAAACCCTTTTCAAATTCTAATTTCTAGCAAACCCTATTGAATTACTAATAATTAGCCAAATATTAACATCCAGATAATAGTTTTGTTAATAATATTGACTTGTCAAAATGATACTTGTACGAGACACATGGACGTTAACATTCCAAAATTTGACTATTTTAACTAAAAAAGAATTACAAAATTATCAACGATAACGAATAAAATATTTAATACTTTGACGTGTTACAAACGTTTGACTAATTCTTACTTTCTTAGTATTTTAATAGATTTAACTAAAATAAAAGAATTCAAAAATGACTCGAATAATAAATAGGCATTACCCTTTATATTATTCTATAGCACCTCCTACGGATCATGTCACCCATTGTCAAAAACCCTTTTGCATCCACTTTTCACTAGAACAAAATATCCATCGGTATAGGGATGTTATGGTATTAACCTGTACAAAAAAAATTTATATATGATCGTGTGTAACAGTACATATAAAAGTAGAGCATGAGGCATGAGCTATAAATTATTAGAAATTTATAATCTAAACGTGAATATAATATCAAATTATATAAAATTGAATTTCTTAAAATATGTAAAACAAATATGCTACACATATTTAATAAATGAAGCACCAAATAAATAGGGTAAAATAAGATGACTCTACCATACTAAGTGAACCATAGTTGTAGTGGTAAAATAAGTATACCGATAGTATACGGGTATATTACAATGATATATTTTTTTTTGTTTCTTATATTGAACCCTCTTCGTGCAGTTACTTCCTGATTACTCCAAAAAATCTCTCTTGAGTTCGGATTATAATTATATCCATGGACTATTGATTTTCAGCAGACCCGAGGAGTACATGACGCATCCCCAGAATGTAAGAGTGCCCAAAACAACCACCACCCGAACCCACACAGAGGAAATGAAAGCCCGCAACACAAATTGATTCCATAGCCAACACCACAGAGCTGAGAAACCTGTACCCACTGCTGCTCCAACCACAACTTGGCTCCCTGTGTGCAGTTTCTGCGATACTCGTAGCCACGACTGCCAATGGAAACAATACCACATCAGGTGTTACGCATCCTTCACACGGAGTTATAAAATATTTAATATAAATTTAAATCATCTGAGTTCATATTTAAAATGTTACAGGATCGCAGATGATCAATTTCTCTCCAGATATCAACCCTAAAGTCAGCTGATGCTGAAGCTATAGGAAGATTGTACTTACGAAATAGGAGGCACATGCCAAAAGTAATGCACTGAGGATGACTGAAGTAGCATTTACTCCTAGCCATTCAACAGCTGAAAGCAACACGGAACTCAGAGCCGAATTATATTAATTATATATAGGAACTTTGGATCAAAGAAGTACGACCCAACCAGCTAAGAGAAGAGCACGAGATTTACTTACTTGCGAGAACGCCGAAAGTAAGAACGTAAAATATGTATTGAGCGTGTGAAGAAGGCATTCCAGGGTCAGATCTGGTTGTAGCAAGTGGCCTCTCCTGCTTCAGAATCCGCTTAAGTGCAACTGACAGGACACAGCTAACCACAGCACCAGTGGCCACCCACAGCACGTCTGCGTTGTGATGCCTCCACACGAAGAAAGCACCGAAAGCTGCAGACACTAACCATTTGCTCTGCCACCATCAAAATAAAAATAAAATGCGTGGGGAACCTCTTTTAACACAAAGCCCCGAATTGGAATAGGCAGATAATTAGAGGTGACAGAGAAGAGGATACAAACCACACTGTTGAGGGCGGCTTCCAGTCCATAGGGTGACTCCTTCACAAAAGCTTCCCCGTCACGCGCTCCCATTCTGTAGTCGTTACTCTGCATGCTAGTTCCAGGAGACTTCAATGACTCTGCAGGCAAGGTGTTCGACGAAAGTCCAGTAATCCCCCTCGTCGTAGTTCCACGAAATCCGGCCAATTTCGGAGTATAAACACGAATATGCGAACTGGGTTTGAAGGGATTGGTCTGGTACGGACGGGGGATGGAGATTTTCGAGGTGGGTTTGTGGAGAAGAGCCGCTTTGGTGGCCATTGTCGTGCAGTAAGGGAAGAAGAAGAAGAAAGAAGAAGCAAAAACTGTACAGAAAGAAGAAAAAAAAAAATGTAGCAGAAGTCGGTGCGTGGCTGCATTTTCTGATGAAATTGATGGGGGTAATAAAGGGACATGAGAGACGGAGTTTAGATTTCTTTGTGACGGTGGAGTGTGACATTCCCTTCAACCTGAAGACGGGCGGCCGATGGATCAGCTGAGTTAGGGTATCAATTGGTGAACTGTGTCTGCTGTGTATTGGATTCCTGGTAGGCCCGCCTCTTTGTCCAAACTCATTGATTCACAATTTCATAAATTCCAATTTATTATTTACATTTCACTCCCCCAGTTGGTTTTTAGTTAAACAGCTAACCGAATTGATAACATGTATTTAAATTGTAAGAGTTATCGGTTGAATTATTCATAAACAATTTTTTTTTTTTGCTTAACGACTAATAAAAAAATCGCACCCATTAGCTCCACTACTTACTTGATACAACCTTTGAAATTCATCTAACTACGATCATTATGAAAAGTTCTATACGAGTAAATATGTGTATTTGTTGATTGGGCTCTTATCATGGTTGATTAATAACAGCATCCACATGAATTATCAAAACTGAGGTTTGGCGGTAAAATTTTGGAATTTAATGATAAAATTATAGTTCTAACCCAAACATATTTCAAATTAGAGTGTACCTAGTAGAAATTAGGGGTGGCTATACGGTCCGGTCCGGTTAAATTGGACCAAATTGATTCGGTTCCAGTCCGGTCTTTTCGGTAATATAAAGACCAAAGATTGGATTAGATACAGTCCGGTCTTGATCTGGTCCGGTCTTAACCCGGTCCGGTCCCAATTTTATCTTGATTTTAGGTGTTGGGGGTCTCTTATCCGGTCTTTATCCGGTTCTTACCTCAAATCTAAGCCCGAATATGAGACTGCATTGTTTGCTATCCGATCCAGGTTATACGGTCCGGTTCTGGGTAAAACCAAACAGTCCAGGACCAAATAGCCAGCCCTAATAGAAATGCCCATTAATTAATTAAAAATAATGATAATATATGAGTTGATAAGGTACAAAATCTTTCATAAACAAGATATAGAGTTGTCTATTAGCCAGTCCCATGTATATATGCGACAGTGTGGTATGGTTATATCATGAATTTTTGCTTAAAGCTAAGACTTCATATATACTATCTTATCACTATCGTACCAACATCATACAACTATGGTAAGACTTCATAATGAGAAATTTTACAATGCTATATAGTATTGGTGCTATAGGTTTTTACTTTTATGGTACAACTTGAAATTGTACTTTTAATGTTGTGGTACAATTTCAGATTGTACATATACTTTTTGTACAAATTCTTTTATGGTACAACTTAAACTTGTACCTTATGTGATGGTACAACTTCAAGTTGTAAAGTTGTACCATAACATAATGCTACAAATTACTTTATGGTACAATCTAAACTTATACATTTAATGTTATGGTACAACTTCAAGTTGTACATTAAAGCACCAATACTATATAGCATAGTAGAAGTGCTTCTTCATAATATGATGTCATCATTGTCGTTTCATTATCTTACCACTATGATAAGAATGCAACATCATGTCATATAATGATGTTACCATGGTAATATGATCATAATACATGACACTAGTAGAATGGGGTTCGAATTTGTGTAATTGTACTTAATTATAAAAATCAATCTATGTCACCCTCAAACGGAAAAATAATAATAATATTCGGCTGGGATATATGTGGTCTCCTTCTTTGTCCCCATGGATGATGTGGGCATATTGAGGAGGGAGAACAACATCTGTAGTATTCAGTGCCTGAAGGTGCTGCTGCTCTGTATAACTCGGTATCTATTGACCACAGTTTTGTTGGTATCTATTCAGTGCCTGAAGAGTCTCGAGCATTGCAACTATAAAAAAAAAAGGTAAAATTCCAAACAGCTCAGACGACAAGGAACTCAAGAAACGAGAAATTTTACAATGCTATATAGTATTGGTGCTATAGGTTTTTGCCTTGATGGTACAACTTAAAATTGTACATTTATGTTATGGTACAACTTTAGATTGTACCTACACTTTTTGTACAAATTTTTTTATGGTACAACTTGAACTTGTACATTTATGTGATGGTACAACTTCAAGTTGTAAAGTTGTACCATAACATAATGGTACAAATTGCTTTATGGTACAACCTAAACTTATACATTTAATGTTATGGTACAACTTTGAGTTGTACATTAAAACACCAATACTATATAGCATAGTAAAAGTCTCCTCAAGAAACGGCATCGAAAGTTACACCTAATACGACAGAGTTCCTGCACAGCATCTACCTACCCAAACAAAACAAAAGAAAAAAAAATCGATGCCCCACCACAAACAACAACACAGAAAAAGAAAAGTGATCAAGGGCAATCACAAGACGCCAAAATGGTCCATTCTTTATACAAGGACAGGGAAGAGCATAACTGAAACGTCATCTCACTAAACACTTCATTTTGTTTCTTGTCGAATTATTATATACCCTTGTGCATGCAGACATACAATTCGCCACACTAAATCCCTATAAATAATCTACGTACATACTTCACTTAATTCCCACTTCTCACTCTCCAGAGCTTTCGATCAGAGAACCCAATCTTGATTGCTTCCCTCTCTTTTTCACAATGGACTTCTTATTCTTCCTCCTCCTCAGCTGCCTCATCTTGACCCTCACCTTCCTCCGACTCCTGACAAGGAAAACTCCGTCGGCCAAACTCCCGCCGGGCCCCTCCCGACTCCCGATAATCGGCAACCTTCACATGCTGGGTGACAAGCCTCACCAATCACTGGCCCAGCTCGCCAAGATCCACGGGCCCTTGATGAGCCTCCAGCTGGGCCGAGTCACCACCATCGTAGCCTCTTCCCCGGACACCGCCAGGGAGATTCTCCAAAAGCACGACAAGGTCCTCTCCGACCGCCACGTCCCTGCCGCCGCCCAAGTCCTCGACATCCACAAATTCGCCATGCCTGCGCTTCCCGTGAGCCCCAGATGGAGGAACCTCAGGAAAGTGTGCAACTCGTACATCTTCACCACCCAGAAGCTGGACATGAACCAGGACCACAGAAGGGTGAAGGTTATGGACCTCCTAGAAAGTGTCAGGCGTCATGCCGCCGAAAGGCCCGGAGAGGCACTAGACGTTGGGAAGGCGGCTTTCAAGGTTAGTTTGAATGCTCTATCGTCAACCATTCTTTCGATGGATCTGGCGGACGAGGAGGAGGACAAGTCATTGGACATCGCCAGGGAGTTCAAGGAGCTCGTGAGGGAGCTGCTGGGAGAGCTTGGGAAGCCCAATTTGGGAGACTATTTCCCCGTTGTGGCGAGGCTGGACCTGCAAGGGATACAGAGGCGTTCCGAGGGTCATTTAACGAAGATGTTGAATTGGTTTGGATGGGTGATCGAGGAAAGGCGGCGCAATTTGAAGTCGGAGAGCTACGTCTCGACCAACGACATGCTCGACACGCTTCTGGCCATGGGAGATACTGATCATGACGACAATCACGAGGAGGCTGCAGCTACGATGGATCCACTATGCATCAAATACTTGTTCTTGGTGAGGCTCACTCTTCATCAACCCTAATCTACTCTCTTAGCTAAATTTTTATTGATTGGTCGGTTTCTACCTTTTCTTTTCTTTACCAACTAATCGTGGTTTGATCAATTAGGATCTCTTCGTAGCGGGTACTGATACAACTACAAGCACACTAGAATGGGCAATGACGGAGCTCCTCCGCAACCCCAATACACTTGCTAAAGCTAAAAAAGAACTTGACCAAATCATTGAAAAAGACAATGATCTTAAAGAATCGGATGTCCTTCGGTTACCATATCTACAAGCAATAGTGAAAGAAACGTTCAGGCTACACCCACCAACTCCTCTACTATTTCCTCGCAAGGCAAGGACAGATGTGGAAATTCACGGTTTTACTATCCCCAAAGGTGCTCGAATTCTAGTCAATGTATGGGCTATAGGTCGGGACTCGACAATATGGGACGATCCAATCTCATTCGTGCCTGAAAGATTCTTGGGTTCAAAGGTTGATGTTAAGGGCAACAGTTTTGAGTTGCTTCCATTTGGTGCTGGAAGAAGAATATGTCCTGCACAATCTTTGGCATCGAGAATGTTGCATATGATGTTGGGCTCGTTGGTTCATGCATTTGACTGGAAGTTGCCAAATGGGTTAAATCCAAAGATGTTGGACATGGAAGAAAAGTGTGGATTGACTTTACAAAAGGCCAAACCCTTATTTGCGGTTCCGATCCTCGAGTGATGACATATAGTCATGTCATACGAAGAGGACTCACAATCTGGACTTGGACTACTGTTACTGTGGTCAGCTATTTCCCATTTCACATGCAACTACTAGTGGCGTTTTCTTTCCGAAGTACTTTGAAATTTGCATTTTTATTTAAAAAGCATTATAACGACAAGTTTAATTAATGATACAAGGAATGGACCTAGTGAATACTATACTGCGTAACCGGTAATAAAAGTAACAATAAGATGGCATCTTATTCGTCATTAGGGGTGGGCACATGTAAATGGGTGTACTCATATTCCTCCCATTTTTTGAAGGTTACGGGTACTCAAATACCCGTAAATATTTTTACGGGATGGGACTTGGCATCAAATATTTCTACAATGGATACCTACGGACTACCCGTTAATACACGTTTGGATATTACGGATACCCGTACCACCCGCCGATTTAATTAAATGATAACTAATTAATTCGACAAATTGTGGTTTAAGGATTATTCTCTTTCGTTGAACATAGGGGTTGTTTGGAGAATATGAGTTTAAATCTATAGATTGTCAACAATCTAAAGATTCTAACTCTCCAGATTGTTGAAAACAGATTTTAAAATGTTTATTATTTGGTAACTGTGGTTGTTAACATTCAATTAAAATAAAAAATTTAATATTATATTAAATAAAATTTGTATCCTTAATAAAAAATTAGAGTGGTTCAAGAAATGTTAAAAACTTTGTTGATAGATATATTTCATGTGATAAATAAATAGAATTAAGAGAAAAACTAGGAGAAACAAAATCTCACGAATCAAGATATAGAATCTCTCTGATTATGAGAGATTTGATATCCCCAGATTTTAGAGATTTTAAATCTCTAAAGCTAGAATCCATAATACAGAAAGCAACAAAAACATAACTTTCTACAAAATCTACGGATTCAGTAAATTCATGTCCTGAATCCTGTTCTCCAAACGACCCCATAAAATAGAGATATCTAAATTAATATGTTAATTATTCTCTTTCGACTGCTTATTTATAGCTACTTAGTTAAGCACGTGTCTTTAGAGATAGCTATGTGGTTTAGCAGTAGTTGTTAGTCTCTCAATGATGTATATAATCACAAACCTAATAATACAACAGTAAGACATTATCTTCTCTACAAGCAGAGCTGATGGCTTTTCATCATTCTCCCACGACTCATTCTCACATTATTAACCTTTCCATTACTTTGCACATTCACGGTGCCACCCGCTCCCAAGCAATCCTTGTGGTAATTCTCGATCTTATGATTTGTGATTAATATGGGTTGTCTGCGGGTACCCGTTATTCGTCCCGTACGGGTAATATGTGTTATCTACGGGTACACGTTACCCGTTATACTGTACGGGTTTGGGACACGGGATAGACTTTCCTCTCAAACGCGAATGAGTACCTGTTTCAAACGAGATGGGTACCCAGTCTCGTCCCGTTGCCTACCCCTATTCGCCACATCTATGAACATTATTAAAGATATACTAGTGTTACTTTTCAATAAGGGTTTTGACAATATGAACCTACTGTTATTATTTTTGCTCACCCACAAGAACTCTTCACACATATATATTAGTTTCACTTTGCTTTGCACCATTGATACGAAGAACTTGATCATTGCCTTATGGACTTAGAAGCTAGTATCAATGTTATGATTGCATGGGTTTATAAGAAGCTGAAGACAAAGAAACCCATTATCCCCACTTGAATGACCATCCAATTAACAAATAAAACTTCTAGATATCCTAAGGGAGTCTATGAAGATGTTTTATTTAAAGTTTGCCCCTTTGACTTTCTCTCGGATTTTTTGATAATGGAGAGCGGGTAGCCTGTCTAAGACCTCTCGCAGACTAAAGGACTCTGTTGACTCCTCATTCCAGAGCACCTGCATGGTCAGCGTGGAGACACACATCATGATAACCTCAATGAGCTTCTCGGGGAATCTGGCAGCAGTCAGAGTTTCTTGGTTGAAGTGCCAGCTCAGGCGGTCGTAGGACTTTACTAAGTCGATCTTCACCACCATCTGACCCTTTTAGCCCTGCTTTAGTCCAATTGAGTGGATAACCTCCTGAAGGATGAGGATGTTTCATGTGATACTTCTTTCTGGCACGAAGCTCGTATGCGTCGAGTGGACAAGCTGTGGCATGAGAGGCTTGATCATGTACACCACATTACACAACTCAATTGGCCCAATTTGGGAGACTATTTCCCCGTTGTGTCGAGGTTGGACTTGCAATGGATACAGAGGTGTTCCAAGGGTCATTCAAGAATCGAATATCCCTCGTTTACCTTATCTACAAGCAATAGTGAAAGAAACCTTAAGGTTGCACCCAACAACTCATCTACTACTTCCGCGCAAGGGAATAACAGATGTTGAAATTCATGGTTTTACCGTCCCCAAAGGTGCCCAAATTCTAGTCAATGTTGAGCTATAGGTAGGGATTCAACAACATGGGATGATCTTAAATCATTCTTGCCAGAAAGATTCTTGGGTTCGAAGAAGAATCTGCCCTGGGCAATCGTTGGCATTGAGGATGTTGCATATGATGTTGGGCTCGTTGGTTCATGGATTTGACTGGAAGCTGCCAGATGGGTTGAAGGCTGAGACGCTGAACATGGAAGAAAAGTTTGGATTAACTTTACACAAGGCCAAACCTTTATTCGCGGTTCTGACTTTCAGGTGACGTAATCAATGTTCCATATGTTTGGCCCGACTTTTAGAAGTGCTTAATTTTCGGCTTCAAAAGCTGAAGCTGGGCCAAACGCCTGTAAAAGGTCGGCTTTTAAAAAGCCGAAAAACGCTTTTGTATAACATAAAAGCAGAAGCTCCGATTTGGAGCTTCTGCGAAAAGATGTTTTGAAAATACAAGATTATCCTTACCATATTTTAATTTATTTCAGAAAATATAATGTTTCTTCATTTATATCATTTTAAAAATAAAATAGATTATAAAATCATATTATTTAATATAAAAGAAATCTAACAAGATCCATTTTGACTACTTTTTATTGTTTAGAATTTTTATTCATATTTTATATTATCAGTCCTATATAGTCATTTTACACCACCTCTCATATTAAAAATCACTTCTAATAGTTTTACAGCCAAACACTCAACTGCTTTTTTTGAAAAATACTTACCTAAAAGCTCCAGCCAGAAGCTGCTTCTTCAAAATCTACCGTAGGGCCAAACTAAGCTGTTATATGTAGAGGACCTGCAACTCGTGACATGAACTACTGTTACTGGGAACGGCTACGATGCTAATTGTACAATAGTTAGCACCGTCCTAACCAAGGGAAAAACTACTACTAGTTTGAATTAGTAGTAGCTTAGGCCCCGTTTAGTATCGATTTGTTGCTGTTGTGGTTGCAGTGGTGTTGTGTAAACAGATGTACAACCACAACAGGAAAAAAACAGAAAACACAAACCTGTTTAGTTGATAATCTGAAAAATAATGAAAGCGGACAACAAGAAAAAAAAACACGTTCAATTACTACTATTAGAATTAAAAACCAGAAAAGAGAGGAGGCGGCGTCGGGGGAAAAGGATTCGAAGTCAGCAACGGGAATCGAGAGGAGGAGGCGGCAGGGGTTGCGAGGTCGGGCGACAGGGGAAAGGGAGGCGGCGGGGCAAAGGGACGAAATCGACGACAAGGGGGAGATGGACGATATCGACGGCCTGGGTCTCGAGAGGAAGAAGTTGAGAGAGGGAGGGAGCTGTTGGGCGGCGGGTTTGGGAGAAAATGAGGGTAGGGTTGGCCGACTAGGGTTTGGAGGTGGGTTTGGGAGTTAAAAAAAAAAGAGAAAATTTTTGCTTTAGGTGGGATTCGAATTGAGGGTTGTTTTAAACATGTACAAGAATCAAATCCTAGGGTTTGCCGACTAGGGTTGCTTTAGGTGGGAATCCCGTGTAAAACATGTACAAGAATCAAATCCAAAGCAATAAATTGTTGTTTCTCAAATTTGAGCCCTGTTGTGCAAATCTGATTCACAACAAAAAATAGAAACCCAACTAAACATGTTTTTTTTTTCTTGGTTTCTCCAATCTTGAAAAACACAACAGAAAACAAAAACATGCAACAATACTAAACGGAGCCTTAGATGTTGTATTGATTTTATAATAATCCGTAATGATTTCGTTATTTTTAGTAGCGTTTTTTGATAGTTATCACGGTGCTAACCCCTATAAGAGTTAGCACCTAATCCCATCCCACTGTTACTATGGCCAGCTATTTCCTGTTTCCCGTCAAACTACAAATGACGTTGGTATTTTCCAAGTACACTGAAATTTCATTTAAAAAGTATTATATGGACAAGTTTAATTAATGATACAAATAATGGACCTACTCAGTTCTAGGAACAAATCCAAAAATACACACATTATTAAAAAATATCCTAAAATACATACGTTATAAAAAATATTCCCTATCTACACATGTTTGGGCTTCACCACGGTTCTCAACCACAGTGAATAACATCACCGCGACCGTCAACCGTGATGAATGCTTCACCGCCAATGTCCGAAGCGGTGTCCATTCACCGCTGGTGTCCCAAACGGTAATGGACTAATTTGGGTATTGGCCAAAAGTCCATGGCCGGAGTTGCTGTTGCGTTGGCACTTGACTGAAATGGAGGAAAAAAATCCCAGTACTTTTGGGTGCTTGATCGCCATCGCACCCAGCGTCGTCCACAGCCGCGTAGGATGCTTGAAATCCTTCGCCGGCCCGGGCACAGCCGGCCCCGGAGAAACTCCAACGTCCTCGACCGCACGTCCACGGGCTCCGCCACGATCTCCGATGCTCCGTTGGTGGGAGGACCAGGAGGAGCAGTTATTCTTCTTCTTGTTCTTATTCCGGTTGCGGTTGGCGTGGTTGCCTCCGCCGCCGCAGTTTCATGATGTGTCGTCGAGCAGAGATGTGGTGGTTCATAATCAACAACCGAGAACCACTAATTAAATACCTCTTGCCTAAACAAAACAGAGGTCACATCAGCTGCAGCCATTGGAGTTTACAACTCCCCCCTCCAAGAACTCGCCGCTACAGCAGGGAACTCGAACCAGAACTATAAGAAGAGGAAGCCACCCAAATTTGGTCATCATCGCTTGGGACACCGGCGGTGAATGGACAGGGTGATATTCACCGTTTCGGACAGTGGCGGTGAAGTATTCATTGCGGTTGACGGCCGCGGTGATGTTATTCACTGCGATCGTCGACCACAGTGAAGTCCAAACATGTGTAGATTGGGAATATTTTTTATAACGTATGTATTTTGAGAATTTTTTTTTTAATATCCTATGTATTTTTGGATTTTTTCCTCAGTTGTATACTTACGTTATCATTAAAATGTGTTGAAGCTGTTTATGTTACTTTGATAATCAGTAACCTTCCACTACAACGTGAGCAGGGGCGGAACTAGGAATTGGCGTTCGGGGGCCCTGGTAAACTAGATTATAATAATAAAATAAAAAAATTATAATAATTAAAAATAAAAAATCATTATTAATTTTTACAATTTATTTATTATTATCGTAAACAATCATCAAAAATTAATCATACATGTTTCTTGACATTTTTATAACTGTAATATGAATTTTGCCAATATTATCGTTTGAACAATATAAGTAATTCATAATTTAACTAAAAGAATTCTTAAAATACTAATTCAAAAGGTGAAGAATTGATTGACTTACTTTGACTAATAAAATATTTATGAAAATTAACATGACAAAAAAAATATGAAAATTAAATGATTAAATTGCTCATCCAAATTAAAAATTAAGTAATTCATTATACAACCAAAAGAATCCTTAAAAATATAAAATATTAATTGACCTAGTTTGAAATTCCAAGACTAATTAATGCTCTTTGGCCAAATTAAATTAATTAAACGAATTAAATTAAACTAGAATAAAAGCAAACTAAACAAAACTAGCATAATAGCAAAAAATTGTAAGAACGTGCTCTTTGGGGGATTCGAACGCAGACCCCCTAGTAGAAAATATAATAGCAAGAAATTGTAGGAACGTGCTCTTTGGGGGATTCGAACGCAGACGCCCTAGTAGAAAATTAATGATGCTTTCCGGTAGACTATTATCTTATTCATTGCCTTATTGTGTTATACGTAAATTATTTTATTAACGATTGAATTTTGTACATGATATCGGAATTCTGCGGGCCCCCAAGACACCACCTAGCTCCGCCCCTGAACGTGAGTAGGACAGGAATAAGAACATAGTAATACATGGTGCAAAAAATAAGAATTATACACCTGATCCATATCCTCTATTGATTCCATATTTCCATCATAATTCATAAACGGGGGAAACGGTAAGAACAATTTTCACACTTTGTGTAGGAAATAGGAAAGGACACCGAGTGCCAAGTAGTAAGTTAAAACAAACGGAACAAGTGTTGGGGCAAACTATATGTATCTTCCAAAAAGGTAACATTCGAAACACATATATAGTACACATTTACTGCCCAAAAATGGTTTCCAGAGAAAGTTAGAACTACACGAATTTGGATATGATTCATGCTGTTGGATCCACTCTCTGTGAGAAAAAACGAAAACACAAAAGGGATAAAAATTACACAACATGATGTGTGTCCATTTTAAATGCGAACATGACTAATCCATGAAAAGCTCAACGGAGCTCTCGACTTGATGATATTGTTTTCGATGACTAACTATCTTGCTGCCAACAATGATGTGCAACTAAAATTTATAAACAAGATTGGGTTGCCTAACCCTACGGATACGACAATTGATTACTTCAAGGACAAGGAAACACTACAAAATTCAAACTTATCGTAAACTGGATTACAACTAAACGGTGACGTGTAGGACACTTCTACACCCCTTTCAAGCGAAGGCGTGTGTATAGCATGCTGAGCTTGCCAAGAAGTCCCTAAAACCGATCTTGAGTCAATCAAGCCTTTGGTCAAATGATCCAACGGTTGCTCGTGTGTCGCAATCTTGCAGGGAGATATATCACAAGCAAGAAAATGTTCTAGAACAACATAACAGTTCATTTCCACATGCTTAGTACGTTCATGAAAAATAGGGTTAACAAAAATATGCAAAGCTCATAATCATTGTCGCAGTAAAGTGGTGTTGGCTTACTTTGGAGGTTTCCAACTCCCTTCAAGGAGCCAACAAAGAGAAATGTTGATGGTACTTACCATGGCACAACATTCGGCTTCAGTTGAGGAGCGATAACCGACAAACTGCTTCTTTGTCACAAAGAGATCAGGGTACCACCATGATGAATAAAATATCGAGTAGTTGAGTGACATATGGTGGAGCAACAACCCAAGTCCTCATCTCAATATGTTGTGAGGTACAATGAAGAATAACCTAGAAATAAAGACCACGATCGATGGACTATTTTAGGTACCAAAGGACGCGAACTGCAGCATAAATTTGAGTCTTCGTGGGAGCATGGGCAACTTGACTAAGGATATTGAAAACATCATGTGTTGATATGACTTGAATTGGACTATCAGCCGCATGGAGAAGTACTATAAATACTTCTCATACTCCTTGGTAATCTGTAATCTCCTCAATATAATGAAACTGGCTCTCTCGCCCGTGGACTAGCTAACACACATCGTGTTAGTGAACCACGTAAATCGTGTGTCTGTGTTTTTCGATTCTCACTTTCGTATTCTTTCTTTATCGATTCCAACGATTTCCCGATCCGTAGCAGCGCGTTTATAACAGCATGTGTAGCTGTGAGATAAAGTAGTCGGCCAATGACGCGACAATAACTAGAGGGATCAGTCGCCCGAATAAAAGGGAGACATCTGATCTGATGATTATGTTCATTGGATATGGAACATGGCAGTGGCGGATCGAGAAACTTTACATAGGGGTATCCTCTCCTAAAAATTAAATTAAATTAATAATTAAATAAAAAATAAAAATATCTGATTTGTACGAAATACAACAAAGTACATGATAAAGCAAGAATACCTTTAAGGAGACTAGAGGAGTCCTTGATTGGGTTTAATCGTTAGCTTTTGAAAACAATTGGAGATAAAAAAATATCTTTTTACTATTATATTTGGACTTAAAGTATAAGTGTATAACAACAAATGAGTTGTAGTCTAACGATAAATATGTCTAGTTATAGTTACAATGACCCATGTTCAAATCACATATAGTAACATTTAAATATTTTTATTTACTCATACGCAAACTACTATTGAGATTTGGATAATCATTTTTGTAACTTTTATCAGTGTCCCGCTACCATTTAATTATTTTCTATAGATATGTAAACTACTATCGGGGGTTGAATAATCGTGTTCCCAAATTTTAGGGGTGTCGCGGAACACCCCCAAAGATCCATGGATCCACCACAGGAACAGTGTCGAGTATTTCTAAATCACACTCAAATAGGATGTTCACAATGTACTTAGTGATGATAATTTGAACCCGCACCGCGGGTATGACCCGAACTCATTCGCTATGGGATAGGTATTACCCGACACGCAGAGCCTGGGACGGGGGATGGGTATCTATTGCCGACCCGCCCTGTCCCACCTGCCCCGATCTTGGCTCATTCTATGTCAATTTCTTACAGGATCTATACATATTTCTCCATTTTTTTGACTTTTCTTCAACTAGTTAGAGTCGATCATTGAACTTGTTAGACTCACTTACTCATTTTATTATCATTATTTTTCATTCATAAAGTGATTTCCCCTTTGTTTTATCGCAAAAAGTAAAATTTGCGTGTATTTTGTTCAAATAACATGTAAGAGTGGGTCGACCCGCCCCGTACCCGCTCGGGCTTTACCCGCCCCGACCCGCAATAGCGTGGGTCGGGGCATGAGTATTGAGGTGCCCTGCACGCCCCATCCCATTACCATCACTAAATGTACTTCCGTTGATTGAGAAACAATGCCCTTGTGAGAACGAGCAACTTCGATGCCAAGGCAATTTTTCAACGATCCCAAATCCTTTATGGCGAACGTTGCATGAAGAAAATCTTTGATGTCCTCTATGAATTGCGCATCATTTGCAGCAAGGATGGTGTGATATTGCTTTTGAAATGCTCTAGGTAATATGAAAACTCAAACTCAAAAGAGCACCAGTGTTTTCTGGCGAGGAAAAACTTGTGTTTGATTTCAATCTATGCACCTTGACTTCTCGAACAACGATTAATAACACGGTTCACACCTCTCCGAACAATGTTCAAACGAGGGTGTTTGATGATTTTGATGGCTGATAAAACTAAGTTAAACTACTTCTACTCCTATAGAGGTTCAGTGAGAGCTCCAAAAATTAAAAGCTACAACTATGGCTACATTGCAGAGAAAAGATAAGTTTGACATGTGGTGTCAAATGGTTGGTTGTGGAACCTTTTTACAATTTTAGTTTCTCCTATTTATAGACATCGAGTGCAACTGCCTTGGTCACTGCCTTTGCAACCGCTAGCTGGCTTGCTGCTCCAAACCGCCTCGGGGTCCTTGTCGCCGCCTTGGTGACTAGTTGGTAACCGTCACCTTGGGGGCCCTTGTCCCCTCTTGGGATGGTGGGTACTTGATGGCCTCGATACCGGGTCGGGTTGTTGTTGATCCTTGTCGCTTGTCATGACTGGATGGGGTTGAGGCTCTTGCCTTAGCCTCCATGAACCATGATGAGGTCTTATCTCACCCTCGACTGCTTGATTACTCCCCGCTCTTGAGTCCGCTACCACCTCATGACACCAAGTCCTTCTCATTAACGTGTTGGTTGTTACCAAGCCGTCTCATCGGCTTGATACCTTCTGGCATGCCACCAAGCCCATGTAATCAACTTGACACCCCTTGCTACCAAGCCATCCCTGATGGCTTGGTATCCACACTTAGTTTTTTGTAGCCTCATCAAGTTGGTAAATTACACCATGCTGGCTTGCTACCCTGTTAGGGTGCTACCAAGCCCGCCTTGGGAATTTGTCTCCATATGGCCCCATAAGGGCCATACATGGATGTTTGGTACCTAGTCGGGTGGCCACCTCCGCTAGCCACCATGCCTTAGTCGAATTTCTTGTCTTGTTGGCTTGATACCCTGATGTCTGGCTATCAAGTCCGTCTTGGCACCCTGTTGCCTGGCCACCAAGTCAGTCTTACCGGCTTGATACCCCCCTTGGGGTCATGATACCAAGGGGTATGATACCCTGTCGCCTTGCTTGGATGCCAAGCATGTCTTGCCGACCTCGTTGGCTTCATACTTAGCCAAATTCATGATTTTCATGTCTTGGTACCAAGCCCTGCCTTGTCGACTTGGTACCCTCTTGCTATGGCCATGTGAATCCATACTTAACAAATTTTCACCTCAGCATCATGCTTGACACCCTAGTGCAAGGACCCTCCCCCCTGGGATGATGTCATGCTAGACCCCCTTGGATGGCATCATGTTTGACCCCCCTTGTGCGGTGGGTCTCATTACTTAGCCAATTTTAGCCTTCTTTCCCATCACGGTCTAGTGACTTGTGTTGCCGTTCTCCCCTTGCCACACGCTTTGATACCTGGTAGGCGGCTAGACCCCCTTGGATGGTATCATGTTTGAGCCCCCTTGCACGGTGTCATGCTTGACTCCCTTGACGAGACCCCCTGGACGAGACGCCCTTGGACGAGGTTATGCATGACCCCCTTAGACGGTTGGATCTGTAACACCCCAGTATTTTAGAGCTAGGTTCGACTTTAATACGTGATCTGTTGGATTGATGGTTACGTACTAAGAGTTACAATCGCGAATTAAGAATAATAATATTATTATAACATTAATTATTAAAAAAAAAGGAAAATATATAGAGAAGGAAGGGGGGGCAGAGCGGCCCACACCTCCCCAACCAAAAAAATTTCCCATTCCCCCATTAAACCCCAGCGCCGCCCTCCTCTAATCCCAAAAATCCGCCAGCAATTTAACCCTCCCCAACCTTAGGCGACAGGGGATTTCCGCCGCCCAACCCTTTTCCCCAGCTCGCCACGGAGGAAGCGGCATTCACATCTCCAAGGAAGGATTATTGGAGAATGGAGGTGGCGCTAAGGAGAAGTGGTTATTGGGTTGCGGAGCCAAGCGGAGGAAGGAAAAAATTGAAAGTTGGTGCAATCCATGGACAAGGTCAAGGGCAAGGGAGAGTGACGGGTGCATATCGAGCAAAAAGTTAGAACCCCGGGTACGAGAGCTATTCGATGATTGGTAACACAAATCAATCAATTGATAAGGTGAGTGTAAAGAGGGTAAAATCTCTGTCGAGGTCTTTTTATTTTTTGCTTTTCGTTCAGGTTATTAATTAGTTAATTGTTGAGTAATGAGCGATATGTGTGTGAGGCATCTCACCGCCTGTAAGGGTGGAGGCACGCGTTGTGCTATGTATGAATGTATGGATGTATGATTGTAATAGTTGGTTAATGGTAAGAGGAATCCCCGGGCGTTTGGGCCACTACTGGACGCAGTAGATGGTCGGATCACTGCTGGACGGCGAGACGTAACGCAGCAGTTGATCGAGTATGTTGGGGTCACTACTGGACGGCGAGACGTAACGCAGTAGTTGACGGGCATGGACTGGACGGCGAGACGTAACGCGGTTGGCATACTAGGGTAGGCACACCGGACAGCGAGACGTAACGCGGTGGTCCCTTGTGTTGGTGTCTTTGGATTAAGAATTTGAGTAAGGGAATTCTAAAGATAAGATAGGAGTAGAGATCTCTTATAGACTGTTGATAGTAAAGTTTAAAGGATGAAAGTGAGAACGACTTTCATCTAAGGAAGACATTTCCCCTAATAACGTGTTTAGTACGGAGTTTGCCTAGGGCAAAGACCTTAGGAAGTAACGACGAGACTGACCCCTTCTCACTCACCAGGTTGAGGATAGTCTAGCAGAAGTGGATCATGAGAAGAAGCAGGGCGAGGCGAGCAGCAGTACCTGTGTCAACGGGATATCGGGAAGCTCGTGAGGAGTCAAGTTAGATTAGTTATTTATTCTGTTTCCTGGTTATTAGTATAAACTCGAGATTCTGTGTTAAGTCGTTTTAAGTGTTCGAGATTGAGAATTTGCCCAAGTGTTGGGGCTTTTCGTTAAAAAAATTCTTAAACATTGTCGATTTTTTTTTTTTTTTTAAAAAGTGGTTTGGTTGCTCCGGAGTAGCCTGTTTGTGGTCTGAGTTGTGGTTTGGTTTTTGAAAAGAGTCAAGACGTGTCAGGATCTCCACACTTGGCCAATTTTCACCTCAACATCATGCTTGACACCCTAGTGCTTGACCCCCCTGGACGATGTCATGCATGACCCTCCTGGTGCAAGGTAGGTAGATGGAATAGTGCTTGACCCCCTTGGGATGATGTCATGCTTGACCCCCCTTGTGCTATGGGTCTCAACACTTAGCCAATTTTTGCCTTCTTTCCTATCATGGTCTAGCTCGATGACCCCTTTGCATGACATCATGCTTGACCCCCCTGGGATGATGTCATGCTTGACCCCCCTTATACGAGACCCTCATTGGACGATGTCATGCATGACCCCCCTTGTGCTGTGGGTCTCAACACTTAGCCAAATTTTGGCTTTCTTCACCCCATCATGTCTAGGGGTAATTACCCGCGAGGTAAGTAGGCGATTAGTGGAGCTAAATTTTGGCTAAGTATGATGGGGTGCCCACTTGGGTGGTTGATGTTGAAGGGTGTCAACGCTTGACACTTGACCCATCTTCCGTGACGGGTGGGTGTTTGGTGGGTCAAGTGGTGTGTATTGAGGTACCTGGTATGAAGCCCAAAATACCATTATTTAGGCCTAGCTTAAACCAATTTAATTAATATAGTTAAGTTGGCCTTATAAATCACTACCACTCTTTGAAAATAATCAATGTTGTATTGAGTGATTTTTAGTGGTAAACAAATGTCCCCCAACTACTTAGTGCATAAGGATTATGGACTAAGTAGTTAACGTCAACTACACCACTTGAAAATGCTCGTTGGTTTCAATAATAAAAACCAAAACACACTAAACCACCCCTGCAGCATATCCAACCGTCATTGGCCTTGATAATTAAAAGGCCAAAATCAATCACTGTCTCCACTATTCTATCCCAATACGCCCTCCGTGTCATGGCTAGCTATACAACTCTGTCCACAAAGAGGGTGTCATGTCATGCCTACCATGAGGATGGTTGGTTAACTTTGAACCCTTTGATACCCCTTGCCCCAAAGAAAAAATGACATAAGGCTTGAGATACTTGCATTGATCAACCGATCATGTAGCACCCGATCCTCTTTCAACAAGTATGCATCCTTAGACAGGTGGCATGGAAGGTACACGATCCATGACGGAAAGCCAGTCAGCTATTCATGCCATGAAGTTGCATGGTGTACTCATACGATCGTAAGGGGCTCCATAGACCCAGCCACTTGAATCGTTGTTTACCAGTCAAGGCAAAGTTTTCACATCGCAAGTGTTGCAACTCTTTTTTTTTTTTTTTTGCCATGATTGGCTTTTTCTCTCTTATTTTACTAGTATTTATTTATTTATTTTAATATAGCAAAGAGTGACATGCATCACTGTTCTCCATACCCTTTGGCCACCACAAACGTGCCAAAGGTGTATACCCACTTCAAAGTCCATGGATTAAACCAGACAAGCCATCCATAGACAACATGTTTACTCTCCTTGGAAAGAGATGGCTCCTTATAAGTTGGTTTTGAATTTCCCAACTCAACCATGGATTGTGCCCGGTCCACTTGTCTTGCCTTGGTGGCCTTGTAGGGGGTCTCAAGATCCTCTGCCTTAGCCGCCTTACTAGACATGTTGGGTTGATGTTGAACCTGATGTGCTTGTCTTGTTTCTGGTGATACTCCAAGTATTCTTAACTCATTGGGCGCAAGAAAGAGACCACGAGTTTTTATATTCCTTGGTTCACCGCAGTCATGCTTGTTCATCCCATATAGTTGGAAAGATGAGTGGTTGGACTCAACGAATTGATGACCACCCTTGTGGCCAACAAGGCCCTGTTAAACCCTTACGCCTTGCTGACTTCTACACGTAGCACATAACGACTTCTAGTTCTTTGTATGACCATGTTTGGTTATTGTATGCCGAGATGTCTTATTCATGCCCCCTTGTCTGCCATTCATGTTTGGCATGCCATGAGAACTATTAAGCATGGACTTGCTTCCTTGTCCATCCATTAACACACTCTCGTGATGGTGAAAATCATAGAGGGCCATGTTGTGGCCAACATGGCCCTGTTAAACCCTTACGCCTTGCTGACTTCTACACGTAGCACATAACGACTTCTAGTTCTTTGTATGACCATGTTTGGTTATTATATGCCGAGATGTCTTATTCATGCCCCCTTGTCTGCCATTCATGTTTGGCATGCCATGAGAACTATTAAGCATGGACTTTCTTCCTTGTCCATCCATTAACACACTCTCGTGATGGTGAAAATCATAGAGGGCTTGAGTGTAATGAACACTCCTAGACTTGCCTCCCACTCGTTTCTTCACTTTCGGTGACGTTCCCCCATGTCCATTGGTTGGATACAGGCCCCTCATACCCTTGCTCATGGTTGTTGACGCGCGCCCCTTGCCAGACTTAGCCATATTAGCATGCTTACTAAAAGCATGTGTGGCTTCATGTTGTGGCTTATTAGGCACACTTATTAATTTACTGGTTGTGGTTGATGACAGGCCTCCCTTGCCAGACTTAGTCATATTAGTATGCTTACTAAAAACATGTGTGGTTTCATGTTGTGGCTTCTTCGGTATGTCTATATGTCTATTGTTTGTGGTTGGTGACATACCCCTTTGTCGACTATTCATGGGTGGCATGCTACAAGGTGCCTTGCCTCCGTGTCCACTCTTTGACAGGCTGTCAAAGTTATGAAAATCACTGGTGATATGGGTATCCAACACCTGCTTAGACTTGCCACTCTCTCCATTCATCATGTTTGATGGCATATGCCCCCCTGTCCGCTGCAAGGAGATAGAGACATGCCATTCTTGCCACACTTAGATGAAAATTGTGGTGAGTCCTTAAACAAAGTTCTTTTTCCATTTTCCTTGACGTCAACGTGCCCCCCCCAACCTGATATTTCACCTTCAACTTGTCAGATGGTAGGCTTTCATACCCCTTTGCCTGCCCCCCTCGCGGTTTGCATCCACCAGGCTTGATGGCCGTGGATAGCAGTGGTGCTGGACAAGCTTGTGGGAACACATTTGTAGTGAGTGACCCTGCACCAACTTTTACATTAAGGCATGGTCTAGCCTCTGAGGCAGTTCTAAAGTAATTGTTTGTATAGGCAATTTCTTTACGTGAGTGGTGAACGTGGGAGCGAGATTCTCGCCACAACCACCACGTCGAAGAGGTAGTTGACTTGTCACCGGAGAAGATGAGTTCTCTGACCGTGGCCGAGTAGTCCGGCCACCGGAGTCTAGAATTCTCGTATCCCCGGTAGCAACGTTTGATGGTCGATCTACACCATCTTTCGCCAAAACCTTTGATCTCAAAACTAGTTTCATCAAAACTTGGAGAAACTTCTTAGAATTATTTTCATTTATCTTGCAAATCTCATCCAGTTGATCCAAACGTCGATTTAAACGAGTATGGAAACAATCAAGTTGAGATACAACTTGTTTTGTGTATCCTACCATACCCTCCTCCATTAATTGCATTTCTACCACCAGTGACTGGTGGAGAGACAAAGTGGTGGTGGTTACACCCAAACATGGCGCCGGAGAAGGCTGACCACTTGCCCCACCATTGTTTCCGGCGTCACTTTTTGCTAATTGGCCAAGATCATACCTAGCCACTAGCTCTTTTATAAATCCAGGTGAAAGATCACCTTCTTGTTCTCTCAGTCGTGGAGCCATCAAATCAAACACACAGTGTCCCACCAGGTGTGCCAATTTGTTTTCCGGCGAGGAAAATTTTGTGTTTGATTTCAATCGATGCACCTTGACTTCTCGAACAAAGATTATTAGCACGTTTCACACCTCTCCGAACAATGTTCGATCGAGAGTGTTTGATGATTTTGATGGCTGATAAAACTAAGTTAAACTACTTCTACTCCTATGGAGGTTCAGTGAGAGCTCCAAAAACTAAAAGCTACAACTATGGCTACATTGCAGAGAAAAGATAAGTTTGACATGTGGTGTCAAATGGTTGGTTGTGGAACCTTTTTACAATTTTAGTTTCTCCTATTTATAGACATCGAGTGTAACTGCCTTGGTAGCTGCCTTTGTAACCGCTAGCTGGCTTGCTGCTCCAAACCACCTCGGGGTCCTTGTCGCCGCCTTGGTGACTAGTTGGTAATCGTCACCTTTGGGGCCCTTGTCCGGTCTTGGGCTGGTGGGTACTTGATGGCCTCGATGCCGGGTCGGGTTGTTGTGGATCCTTGTCGCTTGTCATGACTGGATGGGGTTGAGGGTCTTGCCTTAGCCTCCATGAACCATGATGAGGACTTGATCTCACCCTCGACTGCTTGATGACTTCCCGGTCATGAGTCTACTACCACCTCATGACACCAAGTCCTTCTCATTATCAAAGTCGATTAAAAGATAAGAAGCCATACTTTTCTCATTCAATCATCTGTAGGACTGCGATCTACTTGCCTTCCAAGACAAGTTAACTCCTCATTGCCTTAGTAGCAAATTTTGTTTTTATTATTGATGAAGTGTGATACCAATCTACTTGGCTTCACTGCCCCCCCCCCCCCCCCGTATCAATGTTATACTTTTATCTCAATATACCCTCCATGCCATGGCTAGCTACTCAAGCCAGACTTCATCATGAGGGTATCATGTCATGCCTTAGGGTGCGGGCGGCTTGACATGTCGGCCACCATGGTGGTCTACTAACATTGAACCCTTTGACACCCCACGTCCCAAAGAGAAGGGACGTAAGGCTTGAGATACTTACCATTGATCAATCGATCATGACACATACCATCTAAATCTTTTAACAAGGAAGCCTCATTGGGTAGGATGGCAAGGACCATGAAGGTTCTAGGTCACATACTCGATCTCTTGCTTATGCTCTGTAAGTGGCATTGATGCAAACACATTACTGTGGATTACCATTCATGACAAGAACCTCTCATCACAAGTCTAACAAAAACTTGCTACTTCGACATCTTCTTCTTTTTTAGCCATGAGTGGCCTATTTTCACTTTTTCTCTCTTTTTTCTAACTATTATTTATATAATTAATATAGTAAGGAGTGATAGAGGTCACTGATTTCCACACCCATTGGCAACTACCAATGTGCCAAAGGTGTACACCCATTGCCATATCCATGAATCAAACCAGACCAACCATCCATACACTACATGCCTTCCCTCCTTAAGGAAAGACCATTCCTTTGGTGTTGGTTTTGAATTTTCGAACTTAACAACGGATGGTACCTGATCAACTTATCTTGCTTTGGCAGGCTTGCAAGGGGTCTCATGCTCCTTTGCCTGAGCCGTCTCATTAGACACGTTGTTCTTATGTTGAGCCCGATGTTTTTGCCTCATCCTGGGTGGCACACTAAACATCTTCAACTCCTTTGATTCATCAACAAGACCATGAGTTGTCGTTTATCTTAGTTCCCCCTGATAAGACACATGTTTATTCTTCACATATGGTTGGAAAGATGGGTGTTTGGACTTAAAGAGTTTATGGTCACCATTGTGGCCAACTTGACCATGTTTAACCCTTATGTCTTGATGATCCCTACAATTAGCACATAACCCCCTTGGCCCTTTGTGGGACCATGTCTAGTTGGTGTGTGCCGAGATGTCTTATTCTTGTCCCCTTGTCTGCCATTCATGGTTGGCATGCCATGAGGGCTGTTAAGCATAGACTTACTTCTTTGTACATCCATTAACACACTCTCGTGATGGTGAAAATCATAGAGGGCTTGAGTGCAATGAACACCCCTAGAATTGCGCCCCACTCGTTTCTTCACTTTCGGTGACATGCCCCCTTGTCCATTGGTTGGATACATGCCCCTCATACCCTTGCTCAGGGTTGTTGACGCGCCCCCCTTGCCAGACTTAGCCATATTAGCATGCTTACGAAAACCATGTGTGGCTGCATGTTGTGGCTTTTATAGTATGTCTATCTGTCTATTGTTTGTGGTTGGTGACATGCCCCTTTGTCGACCATTCATGGGTGGCATGCTACAAGGGGCCTTGCCTCCGTGTCCACTCTTTGACACGTTGTCAAAGTTATGAAAATCATTGGTGGTATGGGTATCCAACACCTCCTTAGACTTGCCACTCACTCCATTCATCATGTTTGATGGCATGCCCCCCTGTCCACTTCATGGAGATAGAGACATGTCATTCTTGCCACACTTAGATGAAAAATGTGGTGAGTCCTTAAACAAAGTTCTCTTTCCATTTTCCTTGACGTCAAAGTGCCCCCCCAGCCTGATATTTCACCGTCAACTTGTCAGGTGGTAGGCTTTCATACCCCTCTGCCTGCCCCCCTCGCGGGGTGCATCCACCAGGCTTGATGGGCGTCGATAGCAGTGGTGTTGGACAAGCCTGTGGGAACACATTTGTAGTGAGTGACCCTGCACCAACTTTCACATTAAGGCATTGTAACACCCTACCCTATACGTTTTGCCTAATCATATTGTTCATACAATTGCAGCGGAATTAATCTCGGGTGTTACATTAATTATCAAATTTTACCTAAATAAAATTTCGACATGAATTACTCGCGTAATGGGCTAACAGTTCTTGCAACTGAACCTGCAAAATAATTCATCCCAAACATATATACTCACAACCATATGCATTGGCTTTTCTTAGCCATAGTCACACTTTTCATACTTCCTAACTGCATACCATACTTATACATACCATAAACGTCACAACTTACACAGTTACACAACATATACACATATCATTAACTTTCCACACCTGTGGATATCTCACACTACATTCGAAGCTAGTATGCACATGAAAATGTTCTCAAAACATTTTTACAAAAAGGGTGTGGATCACTGGCCAAAATCCCAAGTAGTAGTCCAAGCACCTAATAGTTGAAGACCATACCTCATCCTGGCTTCAACTCTAGCTCCTCTCCCACCTAACACTTATCTACTGCTGCTGCTGATGATCTGCTTACACATAGCATAAGCAGAGAAGAAGAATAAAAGAGGGTCAGCTCATAGCTGAGTGAGATAATCATCGCATAGTGAGTTCATAACAGAGCATACCCCTACTATACATCTAGCAGACAAGCCAAAACACTAGGATCGGACCTCAGCCATCCTCATATCCCAATAAGCAAAAGACTCAACCACTTTGACTTATGCATATGCATCTTATCATGTTTTACTTATAGGCGCCTGGCTACTCCCATGCTAATAACTCTCCCGGGAAACATACCCCACATCCCGTCGGATGTAGTCATACATACCCCAACATCCCGTCGGATGTGGTCATACATACCCCACACCACTATGGGTGTAGTCATACCCCGACACCACTCTGGGTGTGGTCATATCTCATAAGAGTTCTTCAGTCACCACCACATGAGAGGTGTGACTATCATACATATCATAATAGAGTAATAGCATAGGGAGCCCTAATTACTATGTAATTGACCGTGAGACCACAACCCTCATATTTGGTATCCTTGTACATGATTCATATCTCATCTTGCTTAATCATAATTCATTACTTGCACATGTACTTGACCAGGCCACCATTGGCTCAACATAGGTAAATCAGGAGTCGCATAATTGCACTTCCTCGGGATAAACCCTCGTGCAAGTCATCCTGCTTAAAACATCATAATATCACCCTGGGAAGTTTATTTCCCCCACTTGTGAATCCAAATACAACCACAATATCACATCATATCAAAACACCAGATCGAACAACCATGAATTCATATCAACGGTTAAGCCACAAATGGCAACATGTATGCAATCATCAACATAAACAAGGTCCATATCGGCTAGGGCAAATCAATAATATCATACAACAGTCCAGGGTTCATCATATAACACAAAAGTCCATACACCCCTAATCATGCCATTCTAGTTCACCTAGGTCAATTCTAAGCATCAAAATAATTATCGTGATACGACAAACCCGGTATGCCGTGCTAATCCCTCACCAGTTCTGGTCGTTCAAACACCGGTTCTAGCCTCCGGTACTAAAACATCAATTTCACGAACGAACCCCGAATTAAAATCCGAGACCGTCCTAATATCCCCTGCAGTATCCCCGTCAATATTAGTTCTGGGCTCCGGGTCAAATTCTC